GTGACCACGCTGTGTATACAGACAGAGCCTGAACTCTTTACGTATAAATTATAACGAAAGAGTCCTTCTTAAGACTACATAGATTAAATTAATATATGTATAATGATATGAGTAAATTAAGAAGTATTTTATGTCAGTTGTCAAACTGTAACATACTGTAATTTTACTTATTCAAACACTTTATTTGGTATTGTTAAACAATGGCGATTTGAATTAACAATCATACCGTCCACTTTCGTCTAGACGTACAAGTTTAGCTAATGTTTTTTATGACATATATATATATATATTGAGAGAAAGTTTGAGTGTCCTGAGTTGACATGGAAAACAGGCTTCTACGTAGAATGTAAGTTAAACTAATATATTGGACAATCATGTGAGTAAATCACGAAGTACGCTATAAAAATAGTCAAACTGTAGTAAATGAAACATTCAATATTAATTTTACGTATTTAAATGCTTGTTTAAAATAAATGGATATTGAAATGAAATCATAAAGTAAAAATTTAACAAGGTTCAACTACACCCTCTGGTGGTTAGCTCGTGAACCACATAACTAAACATTTTCCTAAAGAATTGGCTGCAACGATGATGTACCTCCTCATGGATGATCTCATTTATCACTCCTAGTAACATATTTTGGATTTATCTGCCTTCTGACGCTACTTTATCGAACTAAGATATTATATCTCACGTGATCTACCAGTCTCAAAGAATACCCCTAGGTGGGCAATAGTTTGTTATCTCTCCCACCTTCCCCCTTACCCTTCATGCTGTCATAGCATATGCCAGTAGAACAAAAATCTAAGGTATACCTGGATGGAGAGAGAGTCACAAGATAGTTATTGAATGATATAATTATTGGTGTTTGTCACTAGATATTGTTATCGATATTTAAAGGTATTGTCGGGTTATTGTATTTGCTGTATTATTTATTTTTATTTTTTTGAGTTAGGTTTTTTTTATTTGTGGTTCTTTTTCCTGATTCCATTATTATTTATTTATTAATATTGGTGTGAAGGTCTGGCCAGGCACTTGTTTATTAACTTTGTTTTGGTAAGTGTCGAACATATTTCTTTTCTGAGTGTTATTGTTGAATACTTTTTGTTGTTGTTGAATCCTGATTGTAGCGGCATGCTAGTTTTAGACCGTTACAATGCCCTCAGGTGTGAGCATTTTTGAGATACGAAACGGGTTGTACTACTCATGGCATGCACAACTTTAGAAGAGGATTTTTTGTAGTTTCAAATTATTTTTCAATAGTTTACAAAGATAAAATGTACATTTGTAAATATTCAAAATCGTCATTACATTCTGAACAGTCGATCTAACTGCTGGTATTCATAACCTAATTCCTTCTATCATTCTTTTTCTCTCTTTGAATATGGCGCAGAAATACTCGATGGATATCTGTCTATTGAAGAGATAGACTAGAGCTAGTCAACTAACTTCACCCATCACTAAATCTTGATCTACTGAGTTGAATAATTGAATATGGCCGTCGTTCTTCTTATAACACACCCAGATTATCAACTTTTTTTTTATTATTTTACGGTAACTGGCGCAAACCTAGGACTGTCAGGTCCATTGGGAAACACTCGGCCTAAAGTAGATTAAACTTGCAAATCAAAGCACATTGTACATCTCCGTGAACTTCAAGCACTAACTGTTTTACTTGTAGTTTAGAAATAGTGTGGTTGGTTAATGGCGAATAAAGAAACTTTCATTTATGACGTATATAATGTATGATCCATCAAATAACCTATTCCTACACATTATCCACTCCTTGTTATGTTATATGTTTTTTTAATAATGTGTTCTCATGTCAACCAGAATCAGAATTGCGCGTGCGTTGTAATGTAGTTAAGAGCTAAATATAATAAAACACGCAACTTTGTATCAGCATATTCAGAATTAGATAGTTGATCATTGACAAAAGAGCGTCGTTGACAGAAGAGCGTCGTGATGAAGTTTGTCATATTAGTTTTCATTTCGGTCCTAGTTTCATCTGAGAAAGTTACTTTTCTTAGATTCCGGAAATTCAAGAATATTGCAGTTGATCACAAACCGAATAATCCAGTTTTAACTGAACTGAAGACAACTGATCGTAATGACTGTCTTGTAGCATGCGCTAAAGAAGAACAATGTGGGGCTATTAATCATAGACCAAATGGATCGGAATGTGATCTGTTACCCAAGTTGTACGAAGACATGTCTTTATTCTCACATTTTCCGGGTAATAATGTTTATGTTAAGGTAAGTTTCTCTGTTATGTGACGTATATTCAAAGTGCCAGAGACTTTTTGGCAACACAGATTAGAGTCATTAGACCACAATAGGTGGCATAATTGTGTTTGACGTTCTGTAAGTCTGAAAAAAAAAGCCTTCATTTATATGAGACTGAAGAAATAATGCTATAATCCTTTGTGGATTCTAGTTGTTACTTGCTATTTGTCATCAGTTAAACCTAGAATAACTGCTATGAATATAAAAATAAGGTTTATTCAGGCTTTAAGGATAGATAACATAAGCAGTTGCATAAGGCACCAAATTCTCGATTAACCACTTTTGCAAGAGAGCCTTTGGCAGCAGAATCTATACTGTAATTAATATTTGTAAAATAATATAACCATTGAAAGGTTACATACCATTCGATCCTCTCATTGCGAATGTAATTTATCCTCTTACATGTGTCTTCCTATTGTTCACGAACTTACCAACATTCAAAATTTAACAATTCTGTTGAACATACTGTTTAAGGTAACAATAAACCTCATTAGTATAGTGACCACCTTAGTTTTACTATCCATTAGTTTAAGTCTTGCTACAGATAATGTAGGCCATATAACAGCTATGTGGTATAACATTACTTCATCAGTTAAGTTACATTACATTTTGTTAACGAATTTAATTGTCATAGTTACCATTGTTGCTACGCCTTTTAATAAGTGTTATTCTTATTATTATTGTGAGCTTTTTTTATCTCTATCTTAACAGCTAGAACATGAGTTTTAACATTATTTCTGACGTCCTGCTACCTCTTTATGTGTAGTGTGACAGATGTTAAGGTCGGGTTAGTTGTGTTAGAGAGACCTTATAGTATTTTTTAGTAAATTATTACATTTAACGTGGTTATGTTTCAGTTAGAGTACCAATATTCTACTATTATTGTACGATTATTTCATTCACTCAATTTGCTATTTAATATTTTGTATTTTCATAAATATTTGTTGTCGGACTACTGTAAAGTTAAACCTTCGGGCTTTCATTGTTAGCGAGAACTGTGTAACGATTAGCGTAGTTATCAAGTCTATGATATTACATGAAACTAACCAACAGTGTTTATGTGTTCCGTAGGTAAGGTATACTCCAGTAGATCAACGGTTAGTATACGGAATTACAACCCTAAACTCCGTGGTAGATCAAGCACGTATAGCCCATTATGTAGCTTTATGCTAAAACAAGCAAACAATTTTTTAAATATTATTTTCATTAACATTATTGATTAGAATTTGTAGTGTATCTATTTTTATTATGTTTAACTATTTGTCATTATATTTTTATTATAAATATTATTTTGCGGCGTCATCTTATTATATAGATTTAGGGCTAACCCAATTCTTCTAAGCTGGCCGAATGAGATATTTATCCAAATGATAAAACTATGCATTTTAATCTTTATAAGTAAGAACTAAAGAACAGTTTATTTAATTAGATATTCTGATCATAAGGTTAATTTTAATTATGGTCTACCTAGGTAGCTTGGTTTGATCAGATGTTAATACTAAATACATGAGTAGAAGTCCTTAACTTATGCAAACATGTTAAAAAATATATATATATAATATGAAAAGCAAAACAGCCCAATAGCGTCGTACTTATAAGGAGGCAAATTATAATAATATAATAATAAGTAGGGAAACAACGATTTATAAACATAATACATTTTATTTATGGTGGAATAGACTAAATGTTTTGACAGAACATTTTTCAGACAAACCAATGTTCTGTCGAAACATGTAGTCTATTCCACAATCAATAGAATTCTTGGTTAGGCTTATATTTCGTTGTTTGCCTACCTATTATCAATAGCGTTATGTTTATCAGCATGTCCCATGTTCCTATATACAGCTCCTGAAGTGTTCAGACAGACCTTGTCAGAACGGAGGGACTTGTGAAGACATCACGCCTTCCATAAGAAATGGCACTTTTCGTCAACATATCTGTTCTTGTCCACCTGAGTACTGTGGATTGGACTGTGAGAAAAGTAAGTAAGACTTCTAACTTTTCGTAAATGTTACATGTTGTTGCAGTAATCAGATATCCGATATAAAGGATTAGAAATGGCATTATGATTAACTAGACTAGTCAACAATATGAGACAGTGAATAAAATAACAAAACATATCACTCAGTACTTAAACAACCATGTTTTTCCTTGTTTCGTTAACAAACTTAAGCTTTTTTTTTGTTTTGTACAGAACAAAGTAGTTTCATTACTTTTGTTGATCGAAGTTAATGTTTTACATCATAATGACTATAAAGAACGTATGATAACGTTGTAGATTGTATGTAGATGATGCGAATTTCACTTTGTATTTAATAAACCTTAAATCGTTCTAGTGTCCTATGTTGCAATTCGAGATACAGATCTGAAGGCGAAACTCATTATAGAAGGAAAATCAGCCTTAACGTTGGAGGAATGCTTCATATTTTGTCAGGACGTAAGTTCAGCATGCAGAAGCGCCGGGTTCGACGAAGAACGAAAGTATTGTTATTTATATTTTTTTGTCGAGAATGAAATCATAAATGAAACTTTAGTGGAAAAGTTTGGTTTTACTTATATTCGCCCTGTTGATGAATGTTGATTACTTCACTATTAATGTCAGCACACCAGTTATCAATATACTTAGAGGTGAGATTTTAAAGTGTTTTAATATCGTCATACTTTGGAGTTGATAACACTATATTACATATCAAACAGTTATTGTTATTGTTTGCATTTTATAACATACTTTTCATTTTACAAGCCGTTACTTAGAAGAACACAAAGTAAAAGACATATAAATAATAGTTTTCTCTCCTTAAGGGAAACATGTCACGTTGTTGGTTTATCTTCAGTAGTTTTTGTTACAATATGCATTATGTTTTAAAAAAGAATCACCAAACTAACAGAATCTCAAAAATAACAATTTTATGCTAGTAATAGTAGAATATTTTTATTTATTTTTTTTAAATGAAAATTGGTATATTACCGTATTTTTCGGAATATAAGACGCACCCTTATTTTGAAGACAAAGTTTTGGGGAAAAAAACCTACAGTTGCATTTG